GAGCACACAACAGTGTAATATGCCTTTGTCTACTCATTGGAAGGTTAAACTTGTGGTTGAATTGATTCAAATGAAATCTTGAGCATAAATGTTATTACACTTGGCCTGGTGGTAATTCTATGTATTTTGTCTACCCGATGGCTCTTAGTACTGTATTATTTCTAAGCTGCTTAAGTAATCCTTGTTTAGTAAAGTGAAAAAAAAGCAGGCCTTCTCTGATGCACGTGTAGGTCAGTTTTCTCCTGGCGTTGTGGAAACATCTCGGTAGGAATACAAACCTTGAAGGAGGAGGGGAACAGCTCAGTGGTAGAGCACATGCTTAGCATGCAGGAGGTCCTAGGTTCAATCCCCGGTACTTCCATTAAAAAAGAAAAAAAATCTTGGAGATGTTGATTTCTGTCACTTTACTTCCTGTTTAGTTAGGTACTTTCTTCTTTGGTAAAGAAGTTTATTCTACTAATGACACTGCCGCCTTCCAGTCCTGACAGGGGAGGTTTCCCACAGTGTGTCCAGGCCAGTGGACCAGCTGTGAGGCAAGAGTGCCAGTTACGTGTGGAGCCTCCCGCTGCAGCTGGGATGCCCTCAGCTTGGTCCAAGTGGAAAACAGAGTCAGAGTGGCCCTCTCCTCAGCGACCTGTTTAACATACTTAACTGAAGTGGATAAAATCCGTGGACGTTACAAACGTTTCCTTTGTAGTGTGTTTTTATGGAGCTTTGAGACACCTGATACATTGCTGTGAAAGCGAGACCCTGAGTGAGATACAGTTGTGGGGGGAAAAAAACAAAACACGGTGCGTCTGCGAGAGGCAGTAGAAAAGATTAATGATGAGGTTGTTGAACGGAAGGACAGAGGAGACGGGTCCTGCATTTGAATAGCTAAGGATTAGAAAAATGATCTGTAAACAATTGTCAAGAATGTATTTATTTAAAGGTTCTTCGTCTGGTGGTGTGTGCAGAATGGGGTTGTGCCACAGGCCTGCCCTGTTCCGTGGGTCAGCGTGTAGAACCGAGTGTTTGGTTTCTTTAATTCATCTCCTGATACACTGCTGCTTTAAATTCTAGAAATGAATGGAAAGTAGGTATTCAGAACGATCTATGCCAACCAGAATTTCCACAGTATGAATAGATCTGGAGCAGCATTATTTTAGAGCAAGGTGAATTATAACTTGTTTTCACACTTTTTGCGTTAACTGGCAGCTGTATTTCATTGCATTGGAGGTTCCTCCTTGCCCCCAGAGGAATTAGTTGTACGTCCTATCTGTACTTCGCACACTT